AGGAATAGACCGTATTGCTGCCAAGGACAACGCATCCTCAAGTTGGCTTATTAAAGAGAAGTTTACAGTCACATACAGCAATATCCTTAACATCCTTAGTAAATGTTGGCACCTGCAAAGGCTGCAGGGAAAACTTTGCTAAACACACATTTTGCTTTTTATGACTCAGACCCAGCAAGAGGCAAATTGCTGTGACATGCTTTAGGGTTGTTAGAAATGGAGCAACCAGCATACTTGCCACAGACAGTTGATAGAGGATTGAAGATCTACTTCTATTTTCTACTAAGAGGATTGACCACTACTACTCTAGACAGGTAACACCAAGAGCAACCTAAACAGTGCCCAATGCTGCCATGGCAGCCATCCCTCCTGTTCCCCTGAAACAGCCAATATCACCTGGTAACAGTTGTGACTGCTGGACCAGCCCCGATGTCACAACCCCTTAATTTGGGAACTAGTGTAGAAGTGGGAAAGGCATGGCACTTTGTCAGGCACCTTACTGACTTTTTTGCTTCCGTTTTCCTTTTGCGGTGTGACAATGAGTGGCATTTACAGCTTGACTCAGCTTTCGCCTTGGAGACGTGTGCCCTTCTAGGATGCTCTGGTGTGTTCCACACGGCCTTCAGCTGCTGCACGGTGGCTCTGGAGATCCTGGGGCACATCAGTCTACCCCATGAGTCTATCGCCTCCCATACACTTCTTATGAGAATTTGGGATCTCCACGGGGACCTTTCCAGTTTCGGGGAGAACAGGAGTTCTTTCCATAGACCTATCTCCTGAACTAATCACTGTTTAAAAAAAGAATTCCCTGCAACATGAGTTTACTCCCAGGCTTTTCCACAGACATTGCATGAGCTCAGTGAGTCACTGCCTCAAACACACTGCTGTGGAAACAAATGCCATTGATAAACCAGCTGTGATCGAACACTGTAGGGATAAGTGCCCCATTGTTATTGGGCCAGATGTCCCTGGTTTGTGCAGTGGGTTCCTGGATTTTGTTCAAGGTAGAAACATACATAACACATCAGAGTTTCCCCTAGTTTCTGCGAATTTCCTGCTCTTCTCCGCCTTCCACAGTAGCCATCAGAGCTGTAGGTCTGCATCTCCGTGCAGCTTCTCTAAGGGCACCAATGCCAGTTGGGTAGGAAAACTTCAGGGTTTTCGTCCCTTGTTATTTAAATCAGAGCCCACAAACATGCCCACAAATAGTTTGCCACAGCTATAAAATATGATTTTATTGCTCTCAGTCCTCAACATCCTTTTTTGTTACAACAAAGCAGGAAAGAGCAGCATAACTAACTAGTCCACTTGATAAACTAATCTGCAGATAGTTTGATAGACACTGAATAGGATATTCATTTTATACTTCAGATAGACACTGAAGGACTTAGTGCAGGGGGAAATAATGAGTACTACCTGATGAACGGTATCAGGAAATATCTCCTCTTAAAATGCCTTGAGGGTTTTCTGCAGTGGCAGCTCTGGTCAGCCTCACACTTGAAAATTGAGTGCAGGCTCTAGAGGCAACTTGTTTTCTGGGCAGTAATAACATGTTCAGCTAATTATACAAGTACCTGTGTCTTGGTTTCCCTTTGAGAGAGTGGCCTGGGCTATAGCAGAATGCAGAGGATGTTTAAGATGCATCTAATTAGAAGATCTTCTCTCTGAATCACCTGGGAAGGTAAACCATATTATATCTCTGGGTGTTTTCTTTATTTTGTAAAACATATATGATGTTTATTTCTAAAACATATTGTACTGGGTGGATTTGCAAGAGAGGGTGTATTTTGCAACATTTATGAAAAAGAGAAATTTACAGAAAAAGCTAAAAGGAGGTCATGTAGATCACCTATGTCCTGGGTTAAAGTGAGACCTTGCTATTTATCTCCAGGAATATTCTGCACTTTAGAGTTAAGTTTAAACATTTTTCAGCCCAAATGCCATGGGGAAAAAGAGATTTGGTAGCAAACTAGGGCTTCTTTAGCTCTCTGGAGCTTTGTAAATCAAAGATACTTATTGCCTCCCAGCAGGCAGTGTGTATGTGTGTCCACATAGCTTCAATTTTACCAACAGAAGATACATAGATACCTGAGAAATTGCTTGCTGAAAAATTTACCGCAATTCTTTTTTCAACGAGACATTAAATGAACAAGGGGAGCAGCCACGTTACTTGAGAAGGACATTAATGTTTTTCCCATTTGTAATTTGATATTCGTTTCCTAGTATTCTGACTTTCTAGATACTGGTTTGGGATTTTTTGCCTTTTGAATAGCTATCAAACAGTGAGTAGCAGCACGGTTCTCATTTGCATGAGTTGTCCTCTATATGGTTTCTTACGTATACAATTAACAGGGAGTTTGGTCTCAGCTACACGGTTGCACAAAGGTTGTATTTGAAAATAGAGCCTGACCCACAATATTTGAATATGAATGCAAGTTTGTGAGCAGTGCAAAAGATAGATGCAAAACCGTAGCAGATGCTGATTAACCTCATCATAAACTTTGTTTAATGACCTTTTTTCCATTCTATTATCTCTTTTATCAACCTGTTACCAGTGAGATAGATACAAATTTTTTGTACAGATTAAGCTCTTGTACCATATGCTGTGAGCATATGCTGAATACACAAAACTATCAGCAATCTTTTGTTTTCTTTGTGTTCCTATTATTAAGTCATGTTACTATCTCAAGGACTTGTGTCACAGCTTATAATTTGGCAATGTTTCCCTCTTGATCCATTTTGATCTGTCTTGGTCTCAGGATCAGACAGACCCATGGAATTCTTGAGGTTGTCACAGGTGGATGATGTCTTCAAAACAACAAAATAGTCTCTTTTGTAGAATAATGGATATACTGATGGACATGCCCAGGAAACTGAAGAGACACTTCCTTTTCACTACCTTTTTTTTTTCCCAATTCTGCCAGTCAGTCATCCATTGGATTAAAAAGCCTGTAACAGTCTCTTTTTTAATGGATTTTGGGGTGGGAAGATATTCTGAATCAGTGAGATGTCTTCATTTCTTGTTATTCCTATATAGGAGCATAATAGCAGCCATACTGGGCCAGCTCAAATGTCTAGATAGCACAGTTATCTGGTTTGGGGTTTTTTCCCCTCTGTTGCTACCCTAGAATATCTTAAAATTAATTTTCCTTTTTTAATTGCTCCTCAGAGTTCAGTTGACATTTCCTTAGACCCCATTTCTGAGTGGTAATAGTCAGTTCAGAGTCCGTCACAGAATACATAATGTCAGGATCTTTTCTTTCTACCTTACACTTATCGGTGCTGAGTTTCATGACACAGTCATTCAGTATCCTGAGATCTCTATGCAGATCTTCACAGGCAGACTTTGCTTTTGTTAAGTCTCAATCATTTAAAGTTTTCCACAGTGTTGTATCACTAATCACTGCCTCTTCCACATCACTTGAGAACAGAGGGTAAGACACGAGCTTACATGCACATTTCTGCAGAGCTCTGGTCTCTCTATTGGAAAAGCACATAATTTCTTCCTACTTTCGTATCTTCCTATCTTTTATAGCTTTTATCCAGGTCAGTATCCAGGTGAAGTCTCACTGCAGATGAATCTCTCCAAGAACAACCTTTGGTGAGAAACCCTGACAAATGCTTGCTGAATACCCACATCAGTGACATCAAGTACATTTTTGGGCTATAAGCTCATTGCTGTCCTCTGTCCATTCACAAGGTTAGACCACAGATCATTCAGCAGGAAAGTCACAGTGAAGTGCCTTGTCTACCTGGGACCACCAGCTCTGATATGCGATGTGGTGGCAATAGGCAGCTGTTGCCAGTGTTCATTATCATCTCAGGAGGTGCTGAATTTTCCTAGCTCGTTTGCATGAGCAGCCTTTTCAATACAAAAAGATCATAATTTTACAAAAGCTTATGATTTCAATCAAGCTGATGTTATTCACTCAGGTACTGTTCAGTACTATTCTTAAGAGTTTTCTCAGTGCTTTCCTTTCTTAAAATTATTTCTTAAACTCTGCTTGAGTTCTGCCTTTTCCTGCAGCTCTCTACTAGCTGTTAATTCTGGAGCTAGGGAAGTGCTTTGTTAGAAATAATCAGAAAGTGCATATTCATAGCAAAATACATATTTTTACGTATCCTTTAGCTTCCTTTCTCTGTTCCCTACAGCTGTATAAAATGTGTCAACACCTGCTATAAGGGTCTATGCATGTTTTGCCTCTCCCTTTAAGCTTCATCATCCAATCTACTGCATGAGTAAATTAGCTTAGGTATTAATGAGATGGAAAATGTTGGATTCTGTGGGTTTTGATTTCAGGCACCACATTATATTCCGGTGTGTCAGTATTCTTGTGTTCTAGGTTATTTACTTGTTAACAACTGGGCAATTAATGGAGATGTATACCAAAACCTGAAAATTATAAGTATTTTTTCCAGAAGATATCACTCTTCATTATTTCCCTTGTTAGACAAGGAGTAACAGACAGAAATCTCTAGCTGAGCCCATGATGTTACCACAGCCCTCTCCAGAGTGGGACATGGCCAGCAGCAGAGCTCTCCCTGCTGCAACAGGATAGGCTCTCATTTACAGCAACATGTCTAATTATTCCCTCATGTTCTGGTTGTGCATTTGCCAAGTACCACTGTGAGGAATATTTGAAGATCCAATGTCAACTTTTCTCATGGCAGATGAATTTCTAACACCTGACTTGTCCCTGGTAGGAATCTGCTTAGGATTCCGCTTTCTTCAAGCGATTTTTTTCTTCCTCCGTTTTGAATAGGTACAACCGATGAGAAAAAAAAGGAGCTATGAGGGAAATGATCTGGTGACAGTGGAATAATTAGAGATCTTGTTCCATGCTCTGTCTTGGATGAACAGGCAGAGTGTGCTGAAAAATTATGAACATATTGTTTTTATAGAGTGCACTGGTATTTCCTACTGTGTGAGTCAGCTGAAAATTCCCTGATCCTTTTGCTTCATTTTCCCCTCAGGCTACACAGCAAAGTCACTGGACAAAATGCCATCCTTGATTACTACAGGTTTCCACTGCCTATTTCTACTAGTCACAGCATGTTGCCAGACATCACAGGACCCAAACTTTGATCCTTTCATCCAACATATAGTGAGTATCCTTTCCCAGCCCCATTGGTTTTCATTTGGTCTCTGCTTGTCGCATCCAGCTGCTATAGCTCTCCTTTACATCCACAAAACCTTAGAGGAAATCAGCATAGGCTCAGGTGGGGAAACTGAACCCAGAGTCTCCCCAGTGTGCGAAACAGATGGAGAAATAGTCCCTAACTAGAAAGGGAGTTACAGAGAAAAAAAGGGACTGATCAAATGGAAGTTAACAGTCTGGTAAAGAAAACTAGTTTACAAATCTACCAAGCCTTGGTCTATCACAATTAATATTAGACCAGAAAATACTACTTTTGTCTTCCATATTATGAACCCTATCAAGCTAAAATGGATTCTAACATTTATGTTCAGCCCCTAGCACCATAGGAACCTTAATTCTGATGGACTGACCAGAACACAATGTGCTTTTTTTGCACGTTGAAAAAAGGAAAGGAGATGTTAAGAGGAAGGTGGGAATGCCTTAAGCTGTTTCTGCCACCATCCCCTGTCTTGGCAAACCAAGATACAGCTGGTTCCAGCAGCTTCATCTACCCTTCAGCAGATGTGTAACAGTGACCAAGTATCTTGTTTGCTGTTCTCTTCAAACTGCCTCCATGTCAGCACTTAGGCATTTTCATGAAAAGAGTAACACCTTATTTTTTAGCATCATTGAACCATGGGACAACCTGCACGTGAGTCATTGTTTAATGGTGTGAAATATGTGAAGTATTTAAAAACGTAGCAATACCCTGCAGTTGTTCGAGAGAATAACTGAAAAAGGAAACCACTGAGTCCAAACCTGGAGGAAGATGTGCATCACAGCGGGTTTTCTGTAGCTCTCACAGCTAACCTCTAAGGTGAAAGGTAGTACCCCAGCAGTGCAAAAATGCCAACGCACCTTGGAATCTTCACTGCTAGTGCAGCTGCAATACGAAACCCAGCTCTAATCACACACCAGATGGTTCCTTTATGTAACGAGATGACTTAAGAGTTGCCAAGCTATTCACCCTTTCTGTAAATAAAGATTTCAGTGGGACTTAAGAAACTGGCAAAGCTGCAAATTTCCTGCCTGTGTCTTTGCTTGTTCTTTAGCCTTTCTTGCTAACTGTGGTGCCAGTGTATTTTTAGGGCAAGATCAAAAAAATAAGCTTGTCTGCATCTCACATGGCTGCACCCTGCGTGAACCCAGTCATACGGAAATTGTGCCACCACTGCCCTGGTCAACCATGTGCTATGGATGGCCCACAAAATAGCTGACCTGAGACCTGAGCTGGAGCCAAGACATTTCAATCCCCTTTCTACTCCTACTCCTACTCCGGCTGGCTTTGCTACTGCAGAGCTGGAAGATCAGTGCAAAGATGAAAACAAAGGATAGTATGAGTCCATTTTCTGGATTTAAAAGCTGAGTCGCCAGGTCTCCCAAGCAGCTTGCAAGGCTGTCCCAGGGCTGAGAGCACTGCATCAGCCCTGTGGCTGATTTGCAGTTCACACACAGAATTCCTGCTAAGATGAGGCAATTGCCTTGCAAGGATACACAAAGAGGCACCGGCAAACTCAGTACATCCCTCAGCTGGTGTTTAACACTTCCCTGCTTGGAAGATACAAATATTCTATTTAAAGAGGAAAAGTGGGGCAAGGAGGGGCAAAGATTGGTGGAGGGGAAAAAATTATCTATGCTGGTATTTTCCTCACTAATTCTTTGATGCCAACCACAGCAGCTAAAGCTTCACTTTGGTTTTTCACAGAGCTTCCCTCTCTGTTTTCCACAGATTGACAGTGCACTAGAAGAGGAAAGCTTCCAGTCAGAGATGCAAAGGCAGAAGCGAAACAGTACGTACACAAATGTATGGTAGCAGAGCAGGTTTCTGGTAAGCCAAGGGTGAAATCACTGTTGGGGACAGCATCTCCTGAGGTCGTGAGATCATCAAGGGGGAGGTAGTTGTGTTTTAACTCCAGCCAGCAGCTAAGCACTACACAGCCACTTGCTCACTCCCCCACAGTGGGATGGGGGAGAGAATCTGAAGGTTAAAAATAAGAGAACTTGTGCATTAAGATAAAGACAGTTTAATTGGTAAAGCAAAAGCTGCATGCACAAGCAAAGCAAAATAAGGAATTCATTCACTACTTCCCAGAGACAGGTGGGTGTTTAGAGCCGTTTCCAGGAAAGCAGGGCTCTGTGATGCATAATGGTTATTTGGGAAGACAAATGCCATAACACCAAACATCCTCCTATTCGTTCTTCTTCCCCCAGCTTTTATTGCTGAGCATGACATCATATGATATGGCCATCACACTCCACCTCTTATGGTGTGTGACGTCATATTGGTCAGTTGGGGTCAGCTATCCCAGTTGTGTCCCCTTCCAGCTTCTTGTGCAGCCCCATCCTACTTGCTAGGAGGACAGAGCGGAAGAAAGAGAAAGCCTTGACACTGTGTAAACACTGTTCAGCAATAACTAAAACATCCCTGTATTATCAACACTGTTCTCATCACAAATCCATAACACAGCCCCATACAAGCTACTATGAATAAATTTAAGTTTATCCCAGACAAAACCAGTACAGTAGTAAAGGCACAAACAAAAGAGGTAGAAATTTCTCTCTGGTCAGAGATTGACATATATGAGCATAGCTTCTATGCAAGATGAAATATATGGTGTAGAAAAAAAACCCCAAGCCTCTTGCAGGACAGGGGTCACAAGATAATCCTGTATGGCTATGGTTGACAACTCATCTACTTGCTGAGTCAAAGGAGAGAAAGGATGACACAGATTTTCTCTGTACATATCATGCCAGTTATATCAGCTTCCTATTGCTCTGAAACCAAAGAAATCTGGCTTTTGTCAGACAAGCAGCAGATAAAACACATGCAGAATATCCGCTGAGGAGGAAGCAAGAAGATTTCCTCAGCAGAATGCTACACTAAGCTACCGTTAAATAGCAACAGAGCTCAAATGCCAAAACAGAAGCCATCAATTTATGATTTACCCTCACACACAGCTTTGCAGTCTCATGCTATTTCTCTTTCAGTGCTTACTTTTGACCTTCCCCCTCTGGAGTACACCATTGACATTGAAGTAAGCCTTATGGATTCATCTTTCCTGGAGCCAATCAAACAGTACTTCAAAAACCTTAATCTTCCAGTTTCAACAAATATTTCAAATGTAGAAATGATAGTTTCAAACATCAACGTTACAACAGGTGGGTTGGTTATTTATTTTTATGTCCTGGGTGACTATGCTTTTTTTGCCAGTGTTTGATCTCTTCCAGTTTTACCATCCATCATGTTTAGAAATCGGCAAAACTGAACTGCCTCTGCTGCCTGCTGAAAGACCCAACAAGACTGAAGCTCTAGCACACAACAGCATGTTTTGTTATCTGCATCCCACCACTCCTTTTTACATAAAGTTGGCATTAGGAATACCCCTGAATGCTTTTCTTTTTCTAAGAAAGGGACAAAGCCAGAGGAAGCCTGAGCCAAAGGATTTTTCTCCAATTTGAATAACAAGCAGTCCAAGTTACTTTCAAGTTTCAGGAAGCTGCGAGAGCCGTTATCAGACTGTTTACTTCCCTCCACTTGCATTTGGAACGTAAATCACTGTAAGAGGCTGTACTCTGACCGTGACAGAGACAGGCTGCATGAGATTCAGTCTTTTCCTGGTATAACTCACTAAACAGATTCTTACAAGGCAAGATATCAGACAAGTTTTATTACATGAGTTGTGGTTGTGTAATATCACATCCAAGTAACTAATACAGCAGAGGATATGCAAACACACCAAGCATTTACAACAGTAGAGGGGATTTGGTACCTTCTTACCACTCGCTGGCCCATAAAACGGTGAAAGGAAGTGTTCTCATCAGTTCTCAAAACAACACACAAATGCATCTTTTAAAGGCCTTCAGGGCCGCATGCAATGTGTGAAAATCACTTCATTAATATCTTTGCCAATGGCACATAAGAGTAAAAAAACCTTAAGAGTGAAGTGTTTTGGTGACTTCTTTGTTAGAGAGAATGTATGTCTTGAAAGCACTTTGTGATAATGTCACCTTCTCTCATGCAGCATCTGTCAGTACACATTCAGAATGACACAGCACCTCACTAGCCACTAGGACTTTGAATGACCATTACATGCTCTTACAATCTTTAAAAGCCTCTACATTTGCTTTCAGCCCAGGCAATATAGAAATATCCAATGTGAAAACTATCATAGGACACTGACCAATATGCCAGGTAAATTTTTAGGATCAGGCTTCACATCTCTCTATCTCCATTCAGTTACTTAAAGGTAATTCATGAGACTTATCCCTGCACCAGTCTGTTCCCATTTCTGGTTAGTCATTTATAAGTAGTGCAATTAGTATAATCTTACTAAATATTTGCAAGGCATCATTCTTGCATCATTCAAGTGAACTCACAAGAGCAACATTTAGTTGAGGTCACTGACATAAAGATACAGCAGGGTAAATATATATCATGTGATATGTTATTCCCCATTTATCATTCTCATAGTATTTCTCTGCCTGTCTGACACTAGTCTGCCTGCCCAGTGGTGAGAACAACAGCTGTTGTTCTTGTGAAAATGGATATGCCTGGCCAAGTGTGATGTGCAGTGACCTGATAACCTGCCCTTCTGCCAGCCTAGCACCCAAGCTGCCCTGTGGCTACATGAAGGAAATGCCTTTCTATGGGCCTTACTGTGAGCCTCAAACTGAAGGTAAGGAGAAACAGTGCTGAACTTCATTCTTGTACAACTCATATACTGCTCAGAGGATGGAATAGTGTTAAAGGTGTGATAAAGCAGCACATCAGGACTGAATTGCCTATGAATGTAGAATGTCTGTAGAGAGGGTCTAGAGCTCTTCCCTTTGTGATGTGGTTCCACCTTGATCCAAGTACTTGGAGATATTTAGTGCCAAACTGGAGCCCCACCTCCTGGAACCACTCACATGCCTCTTTGGGACTTTCAGCTTCCTCTAAGCAAAGAAAGTTTCATCTCATCAGATTTTCAACAGAGGAACTTAGAAATGTGACCGAAGTGTGCCATACTGCTCAAGAGAAGAGAAGGAACAAAAAAACCCAGCATATATCTTTTTTTGTTGTTTTATTTCATTTTTTTGTTTTATTTCAACTCTCATGACAAGGTGCCCATGACTTTTTAGAAATTTGACTGATGGCTGGAAACTTAGGCTTAGCAGCACTGGGGTGCTGGACACTATCTGTTGTCTCCGCAATCCAAGACAAACCCCAACAAGGGTCTACCTTTGACTTGTGACAGAGCACCATGTAGAGATACCCAGAGGCAGCCCTGGGTCATCATCCAGAATATTACCCTCCCAAAGTCATTGAGGATTTTTCCATTATTTTCAGTGAACCATAGGTGGATATTCATCCTGTGTATCTTTCACTATGTAAAAGTTAAGTACCTAGTCAAAGTTATTCATCCAAACTCTCTGTAACTGGAATAATGTACCAGTTCAACCACTGTAGAAAAGCTGTCTATCACCTTCTGAATGTATCACCTTCTGAAGGTGTCTCCAGCTTTGCATCAACTGGAGAGGAAGCCTAGATATCTAGCAGATGCAAGCACCTAAATTAGATATAAAAAGTTAGGAGAATCCCAACTTTATCATACAGATGAATCTTGACAAGTTGTAAGATTTTGATTTAGAATTAGGATGACTTCACGAAGGGCAAATTGCGCATAACTAATCTAGTGGATTTATATGATGGAGTGCCTGCATCAGTAGACAAGGGAAGAGCTATGGATATCACTTACCTAGACTTCTGTAAGGTCTTTGATACAGTCTCCTACATCATTAGAAGAAGCAGCTAAGAAATAACTTTGTAAGCATTGCTTTTGATTATTTTCACTTTTATTCTTATGTTTTTCCTTACAGACTCATGTGGTATGGGAGAGCCCATTGTAATGAATATGTCAGTCAGACTCGACACAGACTTTCAGAATGATCTCAGTGATCCTTCTTCTGAATTATACAAAAAATACAAAGCTGACCTTGAAAAAGCGGTAATAACTTTACTTTTCCATCCCTGAAGGTAGAAAGTCCTCCAAGAAATATGGTATTTACCTTAAGTGTCTGGGAAATAGGGTGAATTGTCACTGCCTCTGTGGGGAGCTATGAAACACACAGCAGTGGGAGCTACAAAGTGGGCCAAAGCTGACCTCCACTGAAAGGCAATGACAGTATTCCCATTCATTTTAGTATGCTGGCTGACAGGGAAGTATTTAGGAATCCTTTGCATCAAAAGCATGAAAAAAAATCATATTATTGGTCCCAGCTTAAATCCACATGAGCACACACAGAATGAAGCCATCAACACAAATTTACCCCATGACAGTGCGGAGAGCACCAGGCCTATTCTGTCAGATATGCTACATGCCCTTACTCACACCAATGTTGAATGGAGAGTTTCCTATTTTAAGCATCTAGAGTAATATACAGAAGACTTATGTCATGTAATATGTCTTTGTTTACAGTTTAACGCTAGCTACAGCTGTTTACCAGGCTTTGTATCGGCAACAGTAATTGGTTTTAGGTAAGTAAAGGATTTCATTTTTTCCTGGAAGACACAAATCTTTCTGTCCAGTCTCAAGGAGACACCAGTCAGCAGAGACTACATACACTCTGGCTAGAACCCATGCTCAGTATATACATACTGAATAACAGTGTAAGACCTGCAAAGGAAAGCCCAACTATTAGCATGCAAATAGGATTGCAGGAAAAATTCTCTACTGTGCAAAAGTCCAAGAAACATAATAATTTTCCACCTGGATCAAAGCTTTTTGCGGGAAAGACTGAATTCTACCCAAAAGTGGAAAAGGAAGTGAATAAACCTAACATCATTTCCCAGGTCATTGGGAAGATGAATTAGTACATTGAGGCTGGATACAACATTGGATCTGGATAAGAGAGACATTACTTAAGTCCACACATATTTAAATGCAGCTGTATTTTAGGTTTTCTAAGGGAAGTTTACTAGAAACAGCAGACAAAGGAGATGTCACGTAAAGGCGTTCTTACTTTGGGAAGAGCTGTAGCACAACCTTCTTGTATAAGAGCAAGTCTTGAGTTATGACAGAAGCCTTCACAGGTGAGCCCTGTGAAGCCTTCCTAGCCATGCAAGATGAGCCACCACAACAAAGAAAACTACTAATACGCAAGGATATTTAATGCTGGTGCTTCTCTCATTCTTGTATCTGTTTAGGCCTGGAAGTGTTTTTGTGAACTATGAAGTAAAAGCAGGAGCTGCAACCTTCGATCAGATAGCAGATTCCAACAAAATTGTACCACAATTTCTAGATGCATCATACCGGCTAAATCAAGCTACCTTCACAACAGAAATAACTGGTAAGTTTAAAGCTCTCTCAGTATTTTCCTTCAACTTTTACTTTGGTATTTCTAGCCTGAACATGTAGCTGCCTTATAGTGCTGATTATTTGGTACTGGACCTTCAAAAACACTTATTTCTCTGGCTATTTCATTTCATCCTATGCCAGCAAAGCTTAGGGCTTACATGAGATGACCATGCACACAGTACCTCCTACAGAAAACCAAATCCTTCCAGCTACTCCACTGAATCTTGATGCAGTGTCTCCATGGGAGAGAGACTGAAAACCCTTGAGTTCACCTCCAGCACTGAGACTGCTCTTAGCATACCAGGCTGCCAGCACTTCCCACTTCTTCAAACAAAACAAAAAACCTCTTGCAGTTTACATGAGAACAAGTTCCCGCTGGCTTTCTTGGCACATTTTCCATGCTGCTGCTACTAGACAGTGTGTTACAATTCACTTGGCTGGCCAAGTGCCCCAGAGCTGCTGTACTCCCAGTGCAGCGAGCACTGGACTGTCTTTGTCAGAGGATTACTTTAACCTGGTTGCTTCTCCTCCCAGTTTATCTACTTGGAAAGTAGTGGTGGTGATAATATTTCTGGCTCTCTGCATAAAAAATTCTGAGATCTCTGGCTGACAAAGATAGTAGAAGAGTATCTTGTGGGAAAATTGTATAGGTACCAGAGGTAGTGCCCCGCAAGTGATGCTGAGCGCATATTAGTTATGAAGCACCTAGGATTCCCATGAGATGAAAGACACTGTATAGACATGAGCTGAAATGAGAATAATGCAGAATGTTGCTCTTTGTCTTCCCAGACCAGACAAACTTCACTGTGAGTCCTGCAGACATTTTTGAAGGAGATACAGTAAGACTGATGTGTGAGATAAATTCAACATCTGAGAGTGTGACCTGGTATTACTCCAATCAGATCATCTCAGCCAGCTTCCGGTATTTGATTGAGACAGATGTTACAAATACAAGTTCGATTCTTAAAATTACCAACATTACGATGAAGGATCTTGGTATGATTTTCTATCGTTAAAACAGCAGATGTAAATCTCTAGTGTGGCTAGTTCTATAAAAAGCAGAGGAATGCAGAGACAGCATTTTCCTAGAGTAAATGTGAAAAATACACTGTCCTTCATAATTTTCTTGTTGTTTTTTTTTCTTTAATGAACTACTTACTGACTGGCACTGCCAGTAAGATGTGAATTGACTGAAGAGACTATACAGGCCTGGGTATTCTCAGTGCTAGCCTTTACTGCCATATCACAGGAGGCAGCGGTGACTGCTTGGCTGTGAGGCCTTCCCACCCTCTTGGTGTGGTAACTTGAGGCTGTGTTTGAATTTGGTTTTGATGGCTCTTGTCCCCTTTGCAAACATATCTTAAGTAGTCACAGCTCAGAGTTACAGTTTTTCATGTGTTCATGTTTAGGGCTTTTTGAAAACCAGAAACAGTAAATTGGTGGCATTTTGCTGGGAGGAGTTATCAGGAGAATCATCATGTATTATCAGAGATATGACTCAAGCTCCCACTCAGTTCTTCTGTTTGGACCATGAATTTTACATTCAACTTCAAAAAGGGTAGACTGTGACCAGGTATTTGGGCACACATATGGGAGGTAGGAGTCATGGGTCCAACATTATTTAGGCTAAGGATGCCTGAACCTTGGTGTCTCCACTTCTATGTAAGTGGCCTACTCACTTGGCTATCCCAGTGAGGAATGGGAACCCACATACCTAAAGTATGAAGGAAGTTTGGAGCTCTAATTGGCAATTTCAAAAGGAAGCCTGGCTGCATCCAGGGGACAAGTGCCTGAGAAAGTGACTAATCAATATTCTGCTCTCTTTGGCAATAACTTCTGAGCAGTATGTGTGCCTAGACTCAGAGTCCCAGCTCTTGTGGAGTCTATCCTGGGCACCTGTCTCTCACTCATTCTGGGTAGGAACTGTTTGCCCAGTCAGTCTACATTCTTACCATGACATATTGCTGCCATGTGGACTATGGGCAAATACACAGATCCCCAAAACACCAAGTCAGCCAGATTTTAAGTATTTTGGTCCCAGAGTGCTGGTCTCTTGTCAAGTACCCGTCAATACTGAAGCTGCCTAATCTGGATATACTTGGCACCAGGAGTCTGCAAAGAGCACACTGCAGATGACCTGAGGGTACGTTTTGATTAGCAAGTAGCAGAGCCACTGCAGAGCAGGGAGACGTGAAAAGTAGGTGTAGAAGTAGCTCCCAGCTCCTAACTCCAAAAGTAGAGAAAAAACAGCAAAACATGTTCTCAATGCTAAGATATTGCCTATGCTTTACAGGTTCCTATAGGTGCACTTTCACGAACAGTAATCAGTTTCACACACTGATATACAACGCCACAAAAACAATAGCAGTGTCTCCGCTATACATCACTACAAACTTAAATGACATCAATGTTACATGCAACAGTCCTGAAATGCAGACAAACAGCCTTCTGCTGTCCTGTTGTATTGACAGACACTTACCATCTCTTACTGGTGACTGGAAAGTACATGGAGCAATCAATATTACAGGTAAGATTAACAAAAGATTGCCTTTCACCTGTTAGGTTTGTTCATTCTTCAAAGACGTCCTCCTAATTGACTACCCCAAAGGCCAAGTCCTAAGGTGAATACAGGGTATGCTGTGAAGGTGTATTTGTGGGAAGGACAATGGATCAACAGCATGGTAGAGACTCCATATGTGTTGTGCAGGCACCAGTGGGATTCTGTGCACTGTTCGGACATTGATACTGGAAACTGTGCCATTCTGGATGGAAACAGTTGCCTGGACCAGCATCATACTGACTTTTTCGAAAAGGTTTATTTCTGTATTCGCTAGTTTTGAGAGCAAGGATGAGTGATAGTCTCTAAGACTATCTCCAGAATCAACCTTGGGGTATGAAAAGCTTCTGTGTACCACATACCAAGATTTGGCAATAAAGAGAGGCAGGTGGTACACTTTGAAACAGCTGCAGCATAGCTAAATACTGACTGCACAGTTTCCCTCTCCATGTGTAACTGTGATACATCACATGCCAGTGGAGTCAGTGGCATCCCACAAAGCTCTACTTATAATATGAATATAAAGAGTTAATAAAGCACCAAGTAAATGTGCTACAAAGAGTTACAAAACAGCATCAATAGAAATGCTCATGTCTGTGAACCATAGTCATAAACAGCTTATTGCCCTCAATATTTTATGGGTATGGATTAACTGTTTGTTGTTAACCATTATAAATGAAATTTAGCAGAAAGCAGGACAGCGAAATGAGAGAAAACCTTCAAAGCTCACGTGCACAGAGGACAGGTACTGGTGTGCAGTGCTGCTTACAGAGAAAGGGGTGATCCTGGCCTACTGTAATGAGCTGTTTTGTCCTCGATTCCATGTGGCCAGGCTTTCCTCCAGGAACTCTGCTCTCATGTCAGATGGACTTTCAGCTGCAGCATGGGACAGCTTTAGTGGGGTTTTCCCCTTATAGCTAAACCAGCACTCTTCAGATTTAAAGTTGAATGACTGTCAAGTACCTTCAAATGTTTATTTCAAAATAAGATGACATTAAAATCTGGAGTATCTACTCCTGGTTTACTTATCTTACTCATACTAAATTCACAGATAATGAGGTTAGGCTGAACCAGAATACTCTTCATTTTGGCTTATCCTGAGGTATCCAAGCAATGTTGCTGTTCTCAGTTACACTGGTTTTGGCAGTGCCCAACACTGTGCTGAGAGCCATCTTCAGGCCTTTGGAAGACCATTGTGAGTGTTGCCAGAGTAAAAGATATGAATAAACTTAAAAAATGATGAGTTAAAAGTGCCGTGCTATCAAAGGTTCCATACAAACCCACAAGGTTTTCCTTAGCTAGAGTGATTGCTTGTGATTTCCAGAGCCCAGGCATTTTTTTGTCATCTGGTAGGCCTTCAAGGAATGTTTATTTCTCTCTAGGAGTCTCCAATTTCACTGAAAACTGCACTGAATACAAGCTCAATATCAATGAATCACTATGTTCACCTGAGAAGTCAGGTACAGTGACGACATACACATGTGAGCTGCAGACTGGACATGGTGCCATGTGCAGTCAAGACATCAGAGTGAGGTACCTCTGGGAAGGTAAGAGTCAGGTAGATCATCAGCTCTTTAACGTGTAGGTGGCCTCTGTGGCACATGTTATTTGGAAGCAAATGATTATAACAAGTGATTCTCAATAATATGACATTTATCTTGTGTTGTCTCAGCCCGTGTAACAATATCTTCAAGCATAAACTCATCAGTTTCCGAAGGATATGCATTCAATATAACATGTGAAAGTGATCTGAGCAGTTATGACAGTATCAGCTGGAAAATTCTGTCTGGAAATAACACAAAAACAGTAAACTGTGGTACGTGCATCAAAACCAACCAATCTGTAGCCACATCTGTGCTCGAAGTGAAGACTGTCACACAGGACTGGAATGGTGAGTGAACATGGTTTGTTTTGGATACAAAGGCAATGAAATCTCTGTACCAGATAATTTACAGTATCCCTAGCCCTGCAAATCACTGTGAAGCCTGGCCACAGTAAATAAAAAAAAAAAGAGTTAAAATGATAACTGCTGTGGGACAGCAAGACATGATGCTGCCAACAACACTGTATTTGTTCAATATTAGGGCTCATGACCATGCAAAAGCAGAGAAGCACTTCTGTTGACTGAAACATTGGTTTTGTGTCACTTCTTTCAGGCACCTACATCTGCACATTCTCCCAGAAGAACTTGGATAGTTCTGCCAACATGACAATCGAGGTTATTTCCTTGCCTCTGAAGCAGAACATCCTGAGAAACCCCATTAAAGCATCTATACAATGCAACGTGCAACAAACTCTTGAGTGCTGCATAAGTGCTAACACCACGGAAAATTACAGTGTTACATTCATAGTTGAAAAAGAAGAATTCCAAAAAGTTGGTAAGAAACAATAAACTTGCAGAATCATTAGTTGCACTATGTGTCACAACCCAGTCTCTATTTTTTTTATTTTTCACTTAGGTCCATGTAACCAATTCATACTTACTGCTATTATGACAACCCACAAGTATGCCTGAGAGTGTAAAAAAGGGGAAATGGACTTTTTTTTAGGATGGTTGTCATGCCTGGGAAGCGTGGCTGAGATTAATAGAAGAACAGCTGAAGGCACTGCTGTAGAGATAAATATGTAATAGGAAAATTCAACGTTTGGTTTGCCTTGCAAGGCAGTGAGAAGTGAGCATCCTCATCATTGTTCAGATTAGAAATTGCTGAACTCCATTTATTTGCTTTTATCTTCTACTCTGACACTTTTTTGAACTGAGTATCAAAGAAACATTACTTAAGATCTACTCATACATGAAAAAATATAAAACAACACATTAATAATGCAATTCAAAGAATTATTCTATTTTCTTCAAGGATACAAGTAACATATCTTTAACAGCACAAAAACCTAAGTTGCTATGTCTTCAAATTTCAGGCAGTTCTGCATCTTCCCTGGCACGTTTTTATATACCAGAAGTTTTCAAGTGGGTAACAAAACAGTTAAATCAAAAAAAGCAAAGATGACCCACCTAAACTAACTCAGAAAACATTCAGGAGTGCAAAACCAACAGGCTGAAGTGTAAAGCAGGTGGAGATTGAGAGGTCTTTTGATTGCTAAGAAAAATGCCAAGATCTTCTTAGAGGAGATTGCAGTCAAGGACCCTCAGGCACAGGCATGCTGAAAGGCAATGGGAGTGTGGTACAGATCCTGAGTTCAAAAGAACCGTGTAAGAACAGCAAAAAAGTGTCCTAGTCTAAATGAAACACCTGTGGTAGAAGCAGAAGTAGGAAGAGTATTCTTAAAATGGTTTCCAAAGCAAATTTTGGTTCCTGCACAGCAAAAGAAGCTTTGGGCAGGATTTGCTCATACACAAGTAATTGAAAAGGTACTGATCATGCAGCAGCTGCCAGAAGATTTATTAAGCAGGGAGTAAGAGACAGCGATCAGCATACAGAAAGGAAGTTTTTTTTTCTCTAGGACCCACAGAAAAGAAAGTTTTGCAGAAGCTTACTGTTGTATGCCAGCTGATTGACCCCAAATCTGTGTTAACCTATCTTAATCTTTCCACACAGGGAAAAGGAAACAAGGAAATTTGTTTTGCTATGTGTACAATTACACAGAAACAAAATGCAAAGAGAAAAATCTCACGGCATATTGCAAGTTTATGAACCATGTGAAACAGGAAGTCAAAAGTGAAATGATAGAACTGAGCGTGATAACTGGTAAGGAAAAGGTTACTATTTAAAGCTGTTAAATAGGAAATCACAGTATCTTTGTTAAACCAGATGCCAAAAATTTATCATTGGTGACACTTAACAGGAGCAATTTTTGTTAGCCAAGAGTTTTTGTCTACTTTTTTGACAGGAAATTTTGAAATACAGAGGAAAATATCAATTTTGCTGAAATTTTAAAAAATAAATAGACAAGGTGTTTTGTCTTCACTGTGTTTGTCAGTGGCCCCAGTATATTTCCAAGAAGTAATAGTTCAGTCACTTTCTGTACCTACTTCCTTCTGGTGCAGCCTGCACCACTGAGCTTTGTCTCCTGTGTTGAAATGTGGTGATGCAGCTCCCAGATTGCATCAAAAATTTAGCAAGAATAAAAGATTGTGGTGCCTCAGGAAGAAGTCATCTAGCTCAAGACGTCAGCCTGTGGGAGAGCATATCCACTTTAAACACAAGAATGACAGCCTCCACGAAGTGTTGCTGATACCTGGGCAGACCAAGTTTTCAGTTAGCTCTGCAGGAAATGCTGGGTAATTAGAATTTAACATTGCTAAATCCAATTTTGAGGTTTAGTTCTGACCAGAGTTTGGATGTTTCAGCTTCTTATTCTAAACTGGAAAGAAAGAAATGTTGGACATCCCCATAATGCAGAAATTTTGTTTTTTCCACAGTAGTGGTGCCTACTGTTGAATCACTATATGTGTCCAGATTTCACTCTCATACGAAATAAATAGGCACTTTATTTACTTTATTCAGCAGATACTTACTGATGTGACCAACCCAATTAAAGCCAATTAGCAAGACTCACTGTTCATCAAAAAGGTGCTGAGGCATCACTAACAAGGTCTTAATGAATTTCTTATTAGTGCTATAGCAGCACTGAATCCCTTAGCAGAATAAACTTTGTGTGTTAATTACTGTTCACATAGTGGTCAATATAATCCCACTCCACCCCTATCTAACCCTGCAATCTAACAGACAAATCCCAAAACTTTGGGTATTGGTTTGCTGATTTGATTCAGTACCAGAAACAAGGGCCTTTACTCAATTTCCTTTTTAAATTCATCATTCAAAAAAAATTGGGAATGCAAGACATATATACCCTGAAAGATCATAATTAATGAAGACAGCAAGCTGAAATCCTAACTAATTTAAAGGCCTCTGAACTTCAGGAAGGCACAGGTTTGATGGGAGTAAATTACACATCTCACAGAATCATTAAGGTTGGAAAAGACCTTCAAGATCATCAAGTCGAACCGTTAACGCAACACCACCATGGCCACTAAACCATGTCCCGAAACACCACATCCACATGTTTTTTGAACACCTCCAGTGATGGTGACTCTACCACCTCCCTGGGCAGCCTGTTCCAATGCTTGACCACTCTCTCGATGAAGAAATTTTCCTTAATATCCAATCTAAACCTCCCCTGGCACAACTTGAGGACTCTTCCTCTCAAACTATCACTAGTTACTTGGGAGAAGAGACCAACACCCACGTCGTGACAACCTCCTTTCAGGTAGCTGTAGAGAGCGATAAGGTCTCCCCTCAGCCTCCTCCAGACTGAACAATCCCAGTTCCCTCAGCCACTCCTCATCAGACTTGTGCTCCCTGCTTGTTAGTTTTCTACCTCTATGTTTTTTTCTCAATACAGGTGAAGTTTCCTGCTTAAGCAACCTTGGCATTGGAATAGAAGGGAGCATATTAATAAAGCCATGCTGTGACTTAAATAATACAGATGGTTTTATCCAAGGCAGTGAAACTTACAGGTGCCTCAACAAATCATGGAAGCGTGAAAGGGATGACTGCTTATCTGTTACAATAAACAATCTGTTGACTAGTGCTGAGGTAATATTTATGAGTTTTGTAAAGGCTGGGGTGGGGGGTGGGTAGGAGAGAGCAAAACTTTTTCTTGGGTGGTTTTTTGCTTAACATAATCTAAAATATATGAAGCATTAAAAAATCAATTATTTACTTTAAACTATCTTTTAAAAGATATAAAGAATGATTGGCTATATGTACACAAGTCAGTGAAAGAGGCCAGGTCCCCTTTTCTGGCCCAGGGGGCATGTGACACTGCATGGCTAACATCCATACACATGAACACTCTCTCCCCCAGACAAAGTGACCTTATTCATAGCATCCAGTGGGAGCAGTTGCTGGCATGGGGTATTCCCTGAACCATGCTCAGACATTGCGTCGGTGAACGCCAGCTGGCACAAGCCCAAAGCACGCTACAGAGTACACTAACAACGATGCAGTAGGGACAACTCTGGGCCACTGCCCAGCCTCAGACCCAGGCCCTGTTCAGCATGCCCAGTCAGCCACTACCCTTCAAAGATAGGTGCTGGGCCTCAGTTTTCAGCCTAGGTATCCTATCAGTGAGGTTAGATGAGAACAACTATTTTTCGTTCATCAAATACTTACTATCTTTATTTTAGTAAATTAGGCACAGCAAGGTTGCAGACAGAGGTATAGCTACTCAATGATGTATTTTCTTAACTTTCTAGATTGTTCCCTCATACAGTTTGGGCCCAGACCACCTATTTTCTCCCTCAAAATTTCCAGGAGCAGTCTGCAAGTTAACACAGATGAGGTACCACTCTCAACAGGCAGTTAGGATACACTGTTCTGGAGGGTCAGAGAGTTGAACACTACCAGCATGTCTAGAATGACCTTGGCTCTGTTTGTTTTACTAGTATAAGGGTAGTCATTATGAAGGAGGATCAAGCTCCAGGCAAATTGAACACACGTCATGTACTGTTTTCTTCTTTTACAGTCCTTGGCCAACAGTCCTGAGGCAGAAGCATACCTACCTAAATACCTTGCAGAGCTTAAGAAAAAGACCGAGGAGGAGCAAACCACAATAAACAGTTCTCCTGCAAACCTAGGTGCAATCATTACAATCCTGGATACGGTCTCCTCTATCCCAGCAGATGCAAACGTGTCCATTATTCAAGTAAGTTCTAATTTTATTCTTACCTATACTTATCAAGACCTTTGGCCTCTTTTGTCACAGGGGCTGACAATCTCCCTGAAGAATTTTCACAGTTAGTTAGGAACAGGAAAGTATTAATGAATGAGATGTAGTGACAGCAAAGATGAAATGGCAGCAAAGACACAGAAGAATTTATGAAAGTCAAAATGATGCAGACCAGACAAGGAGCCTATGCATGAAAGAGAGACTTCTGTATGATAGATAGATAGATAGATAGATAGATAGATAGGTAGGTAGATAGATAGGTAGATAGATAGATAGATAGATAGATAGATAGATAGATAGATAGATAGATAGATGGAAGATAGAAATCTTCTAGGGACCCATAAATGTCTCTAGCATTCTAAGATAGAGGACAAGACAAGGAATGATGGATGAAAAGTTGAACATGAGCCAGTAATGTGCACTTGCAGAACCAACCATATCCTGGGCTGCATAACAAGAAGCATGGCCAGCAGATCGAGGGAGGTGATTCTGCCCTTCTACTCCGCTCTGGTGAGGCCCCACCTGTAGTGCTGTGTCCAGCTCTGGGGTGCCCAGCACAAGACAGACATGGGCCTGTTAGAGAAGGTCCAGAGGAGGGTCACAAAAATGATCAGAGGGATGGAACACCTCTCCTATGAGGACAGGCTGGGAAAGTTGGGGTTGTTCAGCCTGGAGAAGGGAAGGCTCTGGGGAGACCTTATTGCAGCCTTCCAGTACTTCAAGGGGGATTATCAGAAAGACAGAGTAAGACTTTTAACCAGAGCCTGTAGTGACAAAGCAAGGGGCAATGGTTTTAAACCGAAAGATTTAGATTGGACATAAGGAAGAAATTCTTTACGATGAAGGTGGTGAGACACTGGAACAGGCTGCCCAGAGAAGTTGCCAATGCCCCATCCCTGGAAGTGTTCAAGATCAGGTTGTATGTCCTTGCCCATGGCAGGGGGTTGGACTGGATGATCTTTAAAGGTCAAAACTATTCTGTGATTCTATGATTCTTTGAGTAGGAGCAGAAACAGAAATAAAAGGTTGAAATAAGGATAGAGATCAAGCAAGGAAAATCAATTAGCCATTACAAGAAATGAATACAAAACATATCTTAGAAACACTTGGAAACCTTGATTGTGAAGTACAGAGGAAAAGGACTGCTCTTCTGAGCAGAAAAGTGCAAAGAGACTTGATGTTTTGTACCTGGAGAACCCTACATGAGAGAGAGAAATCAAAGATAGTACAAAGGCTCAGAAAGAGAGGAAAGAAGGCTAGAAAAGAAAAAATACTAAGTAATATGTAAAAAAAAAAGTCATGCAGCAGCCACTTTTGGAAACTTTAACTTGAAAACAGAGCATTGAGAGGGTTAACAAGTGAAGGTTTCACATGGATTGAGTAAAATAAGAAAATGATGGGCTTTTTCAAAAGGCAATTCTAGGACCATGCAGAAATTACCATCAGAAACAACAATGATTTTTACGGGATTTCAGTAACAGCATTATTCTGTTCTTGTTCCAGGATTTCCTCTCCACAGTGGACTTTATTGTTGCTGAGTCCACAAATGAAGCTTGGGCAAATTTGAATACAATGGAGAGAAACAAAAGTTCTTTGTTACTGCGTTCAGTAGAAAATTTTTCCCTGCACCTCCGACCAGTTAATAATACCATTCCTCCTGTCTATGCAAACACCCTTCAGCTACAAGGTGCAGTTGTCACAGAAAATAACACCACTATTTATAATAAGAACTTCAGCAGTACAGGAAACCTCACAGTTGAAGTACTCATTGGTGAAACTGAAATTCAGACTCTAACCCCAAATTCAACAATTGTCAGCGTGATGTACTCAAAACTTGGACATATTTTGCCCCAGAATGAGTCTCAGTACGTGAATAGCTTACTGATAACAACAACCGTGACCAGGAACATAAGCCAGGAGTTCAATATTAATATGGTTTTTGCAAAGAAAAACTTGTCTCTAAAGATGCCCCAGTGTGTCTTTTGGAAGTTCACACTCAGCAAATCTGGAGGGGGCTGGGATACTCATGGTTGCACACCCACAGAGGTAGAAGATTATGTCATTTGCTCCTGCAATCACTTGACATCATTCTCCATTCTGATGTCACCTGATAAACCCTCCCAGGTAACCTTTGAAGATTATATTACCTACATCGGCCTGGCCATTTCAATCTTGAGTTTGGTGGCCTGCATTATAATTGAATCTTTAGTCTGGAAATACGTGACAAACAACACAACCTCCTATATGCGCCATGTCTGTATACTCAACATAGCTACATCACTCCTGATTGCTGACATTTGGTTCATTGTCACTGGCTTCATCAATGACCAAAACCAACAGATGAGCAGACGTGTCTGTTTCGTGGCCACCTTCTTCATCCATTTATTCTACCTGTGTGTCTTTTTCTGGATGCTCAGCCTGGGCCTCATTCTTTTCTACAGACTGGTCTTCATCTTACATAACACAAGCAAGAGCACTCAGAAAGCAGTGTCATTCTGTCTGGGATATGGGTGCCCCTTTGTCATTGCAGTCATCACCATTGCTGTCACACTGCCAAGGAACAATTACACCAGAAAGGAAAGCCACCACTGCTGGCTCAACTGGAAGGACAGCAAAGCTCTCTTGGCCTTCGTCATACCTGCCCTGATCATTGTGGCCATGAATTTGTTCATCACCGCAGTTGTTATAATAAAAATACTGAGGCCAACTATTGGGGACAGGTCAAACAGACAGGAGAGGAACTCATTGTTTCAAATTGGCAAAAGCGTGGCCATCCTGACACCGCTGTTAGGCCTCACCTGGGGATTTGGCTTTGCCCTCATCATCAAGAACAGTCATAAAGCTTTCCGCATCCTCTTTACTCTGCTCAATGCTTTGCAGGTGAGTTACACATATGTATGGCTTTGTTTCCTCTTGTAACCATTTAACATGTAGTGACATCCTTGCAGTGCTGTGCTTGGAGGCGGGAGGGAATAAAAACAGCTTGGGAAAGCTCAGGTTTGCCTTACATCTTATTCCCAAAGGGCTCTTTGGGAAACCCATTCCAGGAATTCAGCAGTATTTCGTATTCTCAGCTGCCTTAACAGATATGCCTTATAGATAAAGCTGACATAAAGATAACTTCCATCCTTGCCAGTAACTCTGGGAAGAACTTCATTCCTGAAGTCTAGGAAAATAACACTATTATGTTCAGGTGGGCAAGCTTCAGCATGTCTGGTCTCATTTACAGTGCATCCGGAGGCATCATATTTGGCTCTTGTGGGTTCAATTAATGAGGGAGTATAAACAACATGAAGTCACCAAGAACAGCTCAATAGTACTAGTAATAAAGCAAGCAACTAACCAAAATGATTTGGCACATGATTGAGAGTTTTCACTTAGTATGATTTTTACAACAACATATTTAGGTTGTCAGTAGGATCCCAAAGCAATGGGATTTCTTAAGGACAAAATAGTTATGTCTACTCTGTCTCTTAAGAATGGCCTGAAAATTGTATGCTTCAGACCAAACTCACTTGCCTTTTATATTGTGAGCCTAATAGCTTATCTGGGCAGCATAGGCAGGGCTCATCTTCCATACACAAAGGTCCATTCTTTCAAATATGGTTAGTGCTAGAAAACAATCTATATCGCTTTTGCAGACCAGATATACACACAGTTTAAGTAGGCCAGGCCTGGAGAACTCCTACCACATTAGTAGTCCATTATGTGAGGTGCAGTTATAAAAATCACAGTATCACAGAATCACAGAATCATTAAGGTTGGAAGGGACCTCTAAGGTTATCGAGTCCAACCATCAACCCAACACAACCAAGCCCACTAAACCATGTCCTGAAGCACCACATCCACATGTTTTTTGAACACTTACAGTGATGGTGGCTCCACCATCTCCCTGGGAAGCCTGTTCTGATGCTTGACCACTCGGTGAAGAAATTTTTCTTAATATCCAAT